TTTTGTATTGATACTGGTTATGCACGTCAGCCCAAGTAACAACCGGATATTCTATTAAATTTTTCTTCAACTGCTGTGAAGCCACCGAGCTTCGAACATTGAGTCCCTTGGTGAAAGCTTGAACGGCCCAATTATCAGCGACTGGTGGTAGGTCCATCCGTTCCATTTGAAATCGGGACACGAACTCTCTGAGCATCTCATTATCCATTAGTCTTACTTTGAAAAGGTCTGACTTCCTGGTCTCGGCCTTTATAGCCCCAGCGTGTGCTTTCAGGAAAGAGTCTGCAAGCATAGCAAATAAGTCAATAGAATTTCAGTTTCGGCGGCGCTTCTGAGATTTGGTCAACCCTGGAATTTTAGGTTTCTAATTTTTTGTCATTTGCTTCGATTTTCTTCTTCCCTGATTCTATCATTTTGTCAGCTCCTCGAGCATTTTTATGATCTCGGGATTAGTCCCCGATTTATTTTGGTTCGACCTCTCTGCGACAGGTTCGTCCCTGCGAGTGACCTCCCGAAACGGATTGGGTTCAATTCTGCTTGGTGCGCAGCTTTGGTTCTGTATCTAATCTATTGCCGACTGTTGAGCCGGTAACATTTCAAAGATCATCCGCAAATTGGTCCCGTACCCTCTATTGTGTTGACTATTTTGCACTGACGATTGGGGATGCTATTCTTGGGGTCGTTAGGCAGATTTATGTCAATAGCCACATGCGAGCGGTTCTGCATTTGGAATTCCGATGGGGTCAATGGGTGGTACCTCGTTACCAGGCGCTATGTTGTTATTTTTACCGTGGTGACCAGACTCATTGCCAACAGGTAGGGGTGCCAATTGTAAATTTGACATTTTGAGCTTTAACCTGAAATTAGAGGCACTTCAAAGAAAAAGTGTAAAATAGTGTGCGTTATGAAAATTTGTGTCAAACACCCACTATTATCCTTAGCCCCACGGTGGGAGCTAAATTGTTTACCCTCAAAATCGAATAATAATTGAATTTGTAAGTGGTTTTAAGGATAGGTGGATTAAATTGACACAAAGCGATAAATTAAATTGTAATTGAAATGAAATATGATAAAGTAAATTCAAACCACACGAAGAACAGTTACAGCCTTGGGTGATGAGCCATCATTGAACAGAATGCACTTCGATCAGTATCAAGACACAGTTAAGTAAGAGCTTAAAGAGAAAATAACAGTATATTGCTTATGAATGCGTGTTCCAATGTATTTTACAAGTAATCAGACCCCCTTTATATAGTAGGAGAGTCCTATATTAGGTACAACTCTATAAAAGGTAAAGATCTCCTGATTTGCAGGTTCCTTATTGACACGTGCCGAGATTCTCGCCGTAATATCCGACCGGTCACGGGTATTTCGGCCCTCTATTATTTCGGTGATCTGTTGAGAATATTTCCTCGAGCTCGTTCGGGTTCAGGTTCGACTCTGGGATCACAGACTCATTTTTCTCGAGGACGGATATTCTGATCTCGGGTTCTGGCCCGGTAGGACCGGGAGTTGATCTTTAATCCCTCATCCCAAAAAGTGAATAACAAAAAGGAAAAAATTACAATATTTAAATAAACTACAACAATCGATTTGCAATTAATGAAATTAATCGAGATTTTAAAATAATTTTTTAAACAACTTTATACAAATTTATTGAACACAAGTTATTTAGAGTGTGTTTGGTACGAAGGAAAATATTTTCGGAAAATATTTTCTAATTTTTCCATGTTTGATTGGCTTACATATTTTAAAATTTTTTCCTCATAAACTCATTTTCCTCCAATTGCAGTATTTTCCCTATCAAAAGAAGGGAAAATATTTTCCAAAACTCTTTTTCAACCTTCTCCACCCTATTCTCCACCATCCCAACCCCACCCACCCCACCCACCCTCTAAAGCCACCCCTACCCCACCTCCTCCACCCCACCCTACCCCTGATCTCACGACCCCCACCCCACTCCTACCCGTACTCACCCCAAACCCCGCACACCCCCACCTAACCCCCTACCTTACCCCTCACCCCCGCCCTAAATAGAAATATTATTAAGAAAATTTTCTTTTCATATTATAGAGAGAGTACTTTCTTTTTCATTTTCACAAAATGAGTATTTTCTTTTCATGATGTAAAAGAAATATTTTCTTTCAATTCAACAAATTGAATATTTTCTTTTCATAGTATACACAAAGTTCTTTCTTTCATCTTAACAAAACGAGTATTTTTTTGTGTGTTTGTTATGGAGCTCAAATTTCAATGATGTTCTTTTGTGAAAAGGTAAAGAAGCACATTAGTTCCTTTGAGTTTGTTTGAATTTTTAAAAGAATAATTAAATACTTGAAGAAAATAGAATCCTGAAAACGTTGGGTATTTGGGGGAGGGGAGAGGGGAGGAGCACAGGAAACATGGGGAATTGGGATGGGGGAGGGGGAGCGGGGAGAGTAGCATAAAAGTTTATTTCGTAAAAACTATTTTCTACTCTCTAACCAAATACTAGAAAATATTTCTCGAAAAAAATATTTTCACTCAATAACTGTAACAACCCGGCCGATCGTTTTGAGAGTATGAGCCCCGATCCCCTATTTATTGTCCCCTATGTTTTATTTTATGCTTACATGACCTGGCGGGGTGCTTGGTGTCGGGTTCGGGAGAGTTTCGGAGTGAAATGGGACACATAGTCCCTAAGTGTGAAGTTTGAGTTGTAAGAGTTTACCGTAGTTTGACCTATGTGTAAACGACTCCGAAATGGAATTTCGTCAGTTCCAACAGCTACGTATGGTGATTTTGGTATTAGGAGGTTTCTCGGATGTTTATTGGAGGTCCATAGGTCATTTCGGCGTCATTTGGCGAAAGTTGGAAATTTGAGGATTTCAGGAAAAGTTTGACCGGTAGTGCACTTTTTGATATCGGGGTCGGATTCTGATTCCGGAAAATGGAGTAGGTCTGTAATGTTAAATGTGACATGTATGCAAAATTTGAGGTCAACTGGACATGTTTTGATAGGTTTCGGCATCGTTTGTATTAATTGGAATTTCCTAATTTCATTAAGCTTGAATTGGGGGCGATTCGTGTTTTTAGCATTGTTTGATGTGATTTTAAAGCTCGACTAAGTTTGTATGATGTTTTACGACTTGTTGGTAGGTTTAGTTGAGGTCCGAGGGGCCTCAGGTGGATTTCGTATGGTTAACGGATTGGAATTTGGACTTGGATGATGGCTGAAGCTCCACAATTGCTGGTGTCTAGTTTTCTTCTACGCATTCGCGAAGGTTCTCCCACGTTCGCGTAGAGGAGTTTGAGTAATTTTGGTATGGGTGAACTTGTGATTGAACGAGTGTTCGGATTTGGCGACTTTTAGCTGATTCCGAGACGTGGACACAGATCAACTTTTAGGGCGATTTTCTAATTTCTTGTTAAAGTTTTGATTTCATTAATTAAATTAGTTTCTTATAGTTATATTTATAGTATGAAATTGCTTTTGGCTAGATTTGGGCCATTCGGAGTCGGAAAGTCGAGGGAAAGGTATCCTTATTGACTGATTGAGCTTGTCTAAACTTGTGTGGGGGAAATTCCCTTAGGTTTTTGGTGTTGTTATGGTATTTGAAATTCGTGAATGCCGTGTATGCGAGGTGACGAGTGCGTACTCGGGTTAATTGTTGAAAAATCCGGTTCCTACCGAGTAATTTTCTTTTAATTCCTTAACTGAGTTTCCTTAGCATGTGTAGTCATCCTGTTTAGCCTAATATTGCATGTCTACGTGTCTAAATTCTTACTTGAAATCTGTGCAACATGCTTATTTGAATTCTGGTTACCTTGATTTTGTATTCAGTCTTTAACTGTAGAATTTCTTGCTGTAAATTTGTTGCTCCATCGATTACGAGTTGTGCATTTACTTTCGGGGCTACGAGGCGGTATCTCAGGAGCTCCCCTGTTATGTATTTACTTTTGGGACTACGAGGCGGTACCTCGGGAGTGCCCCTGTTGTTTACCCCTATTTGTTGTGTTGTTATTTTGCTGTAATTTCTCATTGTTAAATTCTCAGTCTTTTTATTATACTATTATATCCTCTGCCTTGTTTCCTTTTTTTTATATTCCAGTAGGGCCCTAACCTGACCTCGTCACTACTCTACCGAGGTTAGGCTTGGCAGTTACTGGGTACTGTTGTGGTGTACTTATACTACTCTTCTGCACATCTTTTGTGCTGATCTATGTACCTCCTACCAGACCCGATATCAGTGAGCAGTGAGTACGTGGAGACTTCAAGGTATATCTACTAGCGTCCGCAAACTTCGGAGGCCTCCTCTATCCTTATGGTGTCTTTCTTCTTTATTCTCTTAGATGTTGATCTATAGAGACAGTTAGTACATTCCTTAGAGCTTGTGGCTTGTGACTACCGGGTTTTGAGAGTTGTTTATAGTCGAATTGTTGGTTTACTTGTATATTCTGAACGGCATTTTTCTGTATTATATATATCTGTGAAGTAAAGTCTTATCTGTTATTATTTTCAGCTATTCCGCAATTGTTAGGCTTACCTAGTCTTAGAGACTAAGTGCCGTAACGGCATCTTACGGAGGGAAATTGGGGTCGTAATAATAATCAACAAGAGAAAATAAGTGATAAAATCAGTCATTTCCACGATAATATTTTTCAAAAAAACATTTTCCTTCGTACCAAACACTCTCTTAATCAATAAGACAGCACATATCATGGATTACCCTACAAGGACCCTATGCAAATCTCATGGTTTTTAATAAGGACAATTTCTAGCATGTGGCTGTGATGATGCCGAAAAATACTACGACTATTCATTTCTGTTTTTAATTTTCTCTTCCTTTTTTACTTCCCTTTTTCAAAAAAGAAAATAAAGCCATTTTCCACATGGTTTACAAAATAGATGAACTGTACACACCCTCATGGCCAACGGTCCATTCTTCTTTATTTCCTTTTCTCACCTTTGTTTTTTTCCCTTTATTTATTTAAATGAATGCACCAATTAATAGAACAAGAACCATAGAAGCTAAGAAACCTAGCATTTCTATTTTAATGTACTATCCTTCCAACAATCTTTTTCTTACTACTACTACAACCACTATCTCTAGTTACTATAATGAATGATCTTGAAGAACAAATCAACCTTGAAACTCCAGCCCATTATCATGACTTCTCTACTTCATTTTCATCCTCTAATGGCTTAAATTCTCCTTCAACCATCACTTCTACTACTACTACTTCTTCTTCTTCTTCTTCTTCCTCCTTGAAGAGAAACGTGAAAATTTCAATAGAATATAAATTCAAAAAAATCTCAAAAAAAGTTCAAGAATTCAACTACAAAGGAAACGATCATATTGGTGGCACCGATGAAAACAGGAAGAGAAGGAAAAAAGAGGGCGATGACAAGCATCCGACATATAGAGGAGTTCGTAAGAGGAATTGGGGAAAATGGGTGTCGGAAATTCGACAGCCAAGGAAGAAATCAAGAATATGGCTAGGAACTTATGCGACGGCTGAAATGGCGGCTCGAGCTCATGATGTCGCGGCTTTAGCCATCAAAGGACACTCGGCTTACCTTAATTTTCCTTATTTAGCTGATCAACTCCCACGACCAGCTTCTACTTCCCCTAAGGACATTCAAATCGCTGCTGCAAAAGCCGCTGCCACCACATTTCCTGAGGATATGAAGTCTCGAGCCGAATCCAGCCATGAAATCTCGAACCCAATCGAGATACAGAATTCATGTTCATCCACCGACTTATCAACGGACAACGATGATACATTTTTCAACCTGCCTGATCTTTCACTAAATAAAGTGGATCAAATTGGCCGTTATTCTGATCCAATTTCAACTTGGCAGCAGGTTGGAGCCGATGTTGGATTCTGGCTCGAGGAGCCATTTTTATGGGAGAGCCACTAGAAAAGAAACAAAACACTTAAAAAACCAACCATTATAGCAAAAGCCAAATTTTGTAAACTCGTGTTCATATATATATCTACCATAGTTTTCTGCTTTAATGAATTTCTTGTTTATGCTGAACCAAACAACAATAATAACAATGCCTCACTGTAACAATTAGAGAGCAAATGCGGCCTATGCTGGATGTCAAGGTCGAACTCCTCCTGTGTAAGTTTCCTCATATTACCGATCCCAAATGTAGATAAATGGAGAAGGGTTGGGATGTTTGTTTACCCTAAAAAAATCGGATAACAATAAAATTTGTAAGTGATTTTAAAGATATGCGGATTAATTTGATACTAAGCGATAGATTGAGTTAGACCGAACAAACAAAGATGAAATAAATTCAAACCACAGAAGAGGATAATTCCAGCCTTAGTGAAGTATTCACCCCGATCTAGACTTGCAATGGCCAGCATTGATGAACAAGAAAAAGAGCTAATAACAGAGAAAATAATAATATATTGCTTTGAAATGCATGTTACAAACTGTTTCATGAATTATCAGACCCCTTTTATATAGCAGGGTAGTCCTACTTTAGGTACAACTCTATAAAAGGTAAAAAAAAGTCTTCTAATTAACTAACTGTCGGTTCCTTATCGATACGTGACGAGATCCCCGCCGTGATATCCGATCAGTCTCGGATATTTCGGCCTTCTGTTGGCTATGCTTGATTGTCCGACAATGTTCCTCGAATTTGTTTGAGGTTAGGACCGATCCGGAACCATGACCCCCATATTCTCGAGGGCAGGCGTCATGCCCCCGGATTCTGAATCGACAAGACTTTCGCTTCGATGTCGGCCCCTTGTCATCATGTCTCGAGCCTGGCTTATCTTGTCGGAGGCCAAAGGCACCATGAGCTCAATTTTACCCGTATACAATATTGTCATTGTAAAACTAGCCAATTATGCTAAACACCCAAAAAAAATCATAATTTGTTAGTAAAATTTATGTGCTTATCTGTGATAAAAAAGATTAATTGATAACAAGACCGAATTATTATAGTTTTTTTTTTGGGTGTGTGTGTATTTCGTTTGGAGAGATTCAAGGGAGTCAAAGTAGTTTCGCTAACCATTGGATACGGTCAGTTTTAACATATAGTGACAGTAACAAAGATATATAGGAAAATTACGATACAATGATTGAGCTAAAGTTTATGGTAATTATTTTTTGTCATCGATCGACCACCACTCTCCCCTTTCCCTTAACCTTTGCTGGTTTGTCTCATCATGAAATCCGTGCATTATTTGTCCTCACCATTTGTGAGCTACGGCAAAACTTATGTATACATATACTAACAATATAATTTCTTAATATTTGTATATTTTAGTTCAATATGATGTAGCAGGTATTTGTCATATTTCTCAGGTTACTAATTTTTCTTTTTTTGTGAACAAGTTATACACAGTATCTTTCAGAAGATTTGATAGTGTAAAAATACTTTTACACGAGAGTGTATAGCAGTTAAGCTCTAGTATTATTACACCATCCTGAACGTATCAGTTCGAGTTAAACAACTAATCGTCCTCATATGACTGAGAATGTATATATAATCTCTACTGTAAAGACGTCGTCTCAAGAAAATTATCAGATAGTTGAGTTTTTATACTGTTTAATGTTGATGAACGTAGACTAGCTCCCTAATCCCTATGTTGATATTAAACTTTAGATAAATTAACGTACTAAGATTACCAAGTTAAATGTTGAGACAATACTATTCAGGAAAGAAAGGTGATTAGCCACCATTGGGTAGTGATAAGTAATCTTAACATCACTATCTAGATCTCTTGTTTCAAAGTCTATAACCCCATCATTTGGATACATTTTCTGACCTATTCGAATGAGTTTAATTTTTTATACATCAATAGTCTAAATATATACTATCTAATCATCTAATAGATAGTTATAAATAACTGTTCATAAGAATGAGATTATATTACTTGAAAAATAAGTTATGTGACATGTTACAACTGTTAGGATCAAAATAATCAGGTGTCATTTGAAAGTTAGTAAAGCAACACTTGAACGACGATAAATCAGACAATAGAAGAGAAATACCAAAAGAGACCAACGTACACACATGGAGTGAGCAATCCACTATAAAAAAGAGAGTACAAAATATCGAGAGAACAACCTCGCAAAGAGGCAAACACAAGTGGCACACTAACACTTGTCCCGAAAAGTTCTCCCCCTAAACAAGACTCTCAAACCCCTTATGACTATATTGTGGATACTACTAAATGAGAAAGAAGGATCCTCAATTTATGAAAGTACAAAGCTTTTTCCTCCAAGAGAAAGGACTAGCCAAATATGTGAGATTTATAATTTCTTTCTAGAAAAAAAATCTAATTATGGTAAATCCTTCAAGAGATAGAAAATCAAATATGATAAGAAAATGAGTATAAACACCTAATAACAACATGTTAAAATACATTAAAAAGTAAAAGAATTAAGTAAAATCATAAAAGGAGTGGCAAAGACAAGAGACAAATCTACTATGTTGGACCCAAGCAAATCTTCTTGTGATGACCCGATAGGTCATCTAGAGTTTTAAACCTTATTTCTGTATTACGAAGACTCCAATAGCTTCTCTAAGCCTTCCTCAATTTGTGTGCGTAATTCGGGTATTTTTCCGGAAGGCTTTTACGTTAAAAAATTGGTAAAATATGAAATTTTGCCTTAAAAATCTATTTGAGTTGACTTCGGTCAATTTTTTGAGCAAACGGACCAGGATCCGTGTTTTGACGGTCTCGGCGGGTCCGTATCGTGATTTAGGACCTGGGTGTATTTCCGGAATCGATTTCGGAGGTTCCTAGCTCGAATTATCGCTCTTTGTTGAAAATTGAAAGTTTAAAGGTTTGATGACTTTAAAGATTTGACCGATGTTTGACTTTGTTGATACCGGGTCCATATTCTTGTTTCGGAACGCGGTATAGGTCCATTACTATATTTGTGGCCTTTTTGCCAAATTTGGCAAGAAACGGAGTTGGTTTGACGTGATTCAGACGTCCGGCTGTTAAAATAGAAATTCTAAAATTTTATTGAAAATTTCATTTGATTTGGTGTCTGATTCATAGTTCTAGGTACTTTTTTGGTGTTTTGATTGCGCGAGCAAGTTCATATCATATTTTTGGACTTGTGTGCATAATTGGTTTGGATCCCTGAGGGCTCGGGTGAGTTTCGGATAGCCTACGAACCTTTTGAACTTAGGAAAAATCTGGTTTTTGAGCCTCTGCTATCATCTGGTGCGTTGTGCTTCGCGATCGCGAAGCCATTCTCGCAATCGCGAAGGAGATCTGGGCTGGGGGAGGATTTTGTTCTACGCGAAAGCGAAATCATAGTCACAAACGCGGAGCACTGGAGCGCCTGCTCTACGCGAACGGGACCTATCACACGCGAACACGTAGTTTAGTGCCGTGGGGTTGGGATTATGAGGTGACCCTATGCAAATGCGAGTCCAGTCTCGCGAACGTGGAGGTTAGGCGGGATAAAACTTTGCAAATGCGTGGAGTCTTCCGCGATCGCGTAAGCCAGTGAGGCTTTGCTCTTCGCAAACGTGTCAGGTTTCACGCAAATGCGATGAACACCTGACGCCAGTGATCAAAACAGTCCCAAAAACTGGATTTTGTTCATCCTTTCAAATTTTAAAAACTTGAAAACCCTAGAGGCGATTTTCCCAAGAGTTATTATTCCCCAATTTATTGGTAAATGATTCTAACCTATTTTCTTTTAATTTTTCATTACATTTCTTATGATTTCAACCTAAAATCTATGATTTTCACGGTAGAAAAGGCTTGGTAGAATTAAGAATTTTTGTAAAATTTGAATTTAGACCTCAAATTGAGGTCGGATTTTGAAACAAATTACATAACCAGGCTCGGGGATGAATGGGTAATCGGGTTTCACTCAGAATTTCAGGTTTGGACCAAGCAGGCCCGGGGTCGATTTTTGACTTTTGGGGGAAAACTGTGGGAATTCTAAATTTATGCATTATAATTGATTCTTTTAGCAATATTTGATATTATTGAGTAAATTGTGGTTAGATACGAGTGGTTTAGAGGAGAATTCTAGGGGAAAGGCCCCAGTTGAGCTCTGAGTTGACTGCGATGTGAGGTAAGTGTTGAGTTTAACCTTGATTTGAGGGAATTAAGAACCCTCAGACTATGTGCTATGTGAATTTCATGTGTTGCGGCATATATGTGAAGTGACGAGTTCTTATACACCGCTGAATTACTTGTTTCCCTGATTTTCCTCTTTTCCTTAATTACCTCCTCCCCTGTTTTAACTGTTATATGCTCTAAATGCCTTCCATGCTTAATTGCTACCTGTTAGTCATTGTTTCTCCTGTTAACAATGTTTGATCCTTTCATGCTTTCATGACTCGCTGCTATTTGCCTTAGTGGACTTACTTGCACCTTCCAATTGACATTTACTAGACTTGTCTTACCGTGTAGTATTACATATGTGAATTCCCATGTTGTACGAGGTTCCTTTTCTGATTCATCATTGTATTCATCAATTGTAGAGGTTCTTGTGATTTGAATTATTGATTTGACTGTGCTCATTGAATATTTAGTACTGATATGGTGGGATCGGGTTGCACTCCACAATAGGTGAAATAAGGATGGATGGATATGGTGGAATAAGGGTGAATTTGTACTGATATGGTGGGATCGAGTTGCACGCCGCAACAAGTGGAATAAGGGTGGATTGATACGGTGAAATAAAGGTAAATTATGATACTGATTTTGTTATATGGTGGGATCGGGTTGTTTGCCGCAACATATATTTATTTGTTTATGATTGTGATATTATTGCGGTAGAATAAGGGAGGATTGAGCTGTATGCTGAGATCGGGTTGCGCGCCGCAACAACCTATATGATTCTATTTCTCTGTAATGTGTTGGTTCTCGGTATTTTTCACACGATCTCTGAGTATTGGTAATTCTGATCGGTACTGGTTTTCTTTGAGGATTTAACTATTTTCTTCAGTTAACTGTCTTATTTTGTTCTATATTTCCTTCTCATGTTTCTATTATATACTGTGTACAGGTTGTAG